TTACGCCCGCGCCTTTCCCTTCCCCCACAAACCTGTAAGGTTGATGCCAGCTGCGTCACGGGGATGCCAATCACGCCGTACACGACCCTGACCCCCAGAGCCTCAGGCTCTTGGCTATGGTGTAGTACCCGTCATTGGGCAAGGCATCCAGGTCCAGGGTCGACCCCCCGACAGCCCCTGCAGCACACAGTGGAGGTGGCGGGGGGGGGGTGGCTGCTGAGGGGCGGGCAAGGACGAGGCGTGGGGGTGGGGTGGGGTGCCCTGCGCAGAGGATGGGATCCCCTTGTATGGACTCGTCTAGGACGAGTGGCAGTGCAGAGCACCACCGTCACGCCATCTCAGGGGCTGGTCCCATCTGGGTGGAGGGGTGTTGAACCCCTGCCCCTCCCAGGTTCTCGAAGCTGGACTCAGACAGGGTATACACCAAGGCAGAGGCGGGAGTGAATCGTTCCATCAAGTTTCAGAGAATGTGGGCCTGGCCCGTGCAGCAGCGCACCAACAGCAGCCAAGGGTAGGCAGGAGCGAAAAGGCAATGGACCCAGCAAGGCCGGTGCCCGACTGGCTTGGCGTGCCTAAACAAACAAACTTGGGGTGCACGTTGCTGCCCGCCTCCCCTCCAGTCATGCCGACGCACCATCCTTGGGCTTGTTGATGAATGCGTCCACCATGAAGCGGCGCTGGATCTTGCCCGTCGCGGTCTTGGGCAGTTCGTCGGTGATGAAGATCTGGGTGGGGATCTGTGGGTAAGAGGCGGGACGAGTGCAAGGGCGTGTGATTGGGGAGGGGGTAGCAGCTTTGGGTAGGTGTGTGAGTATACATTCCACCCCTGACATGCTGCCTCATGGCTGAAGGGTGAAGACAGGCCTGTGTGATGGGATCCTATCGGTCGTTCTTCAAGATTCCCTTTGTGTTGCCAAGGTAGCCAAGGTACTCTCAGGCACAGGCATGCCCATCCCCCAACCGACTTGCCCCCACCACCCCGGCTCCACCAATCGCTTCCCGCTCAACCCAAACCAAAATCTGAGTACCCCGCACCTTGAAGGCGGAGAGACGGGTGCCGACGTGGCGCTTGATGTCCTCCACCGCCCCCTCCCCCAGGCGCTTGCCCTCCTCATTCAGGACCACGGCAGCGGCCACGGTCTCGCCATACTTGGCGTCTGGCGCGGCAAAGGCCACGGCCTCGGCCACCCCCCGGTGGCTCAGCAGCGCGCCGTCCACCTCGATGGGCGAGATCTTCTCGCCGCCCCGGTTGATCAGCTCCTTGATGCGCCCCGTCAGCTGCAGATAGCCCTCTGCATCCAGCCGTCCCTGGTCCCCCGTGTGGAACCAGCCCCCCGCAAACGCCTCCTCGTTCGCGGCGGGGTTGGCGCGGTACCCCGCCGTCACGTTGGGCCCGCGGATGCACACCTCCCCCACCTCCCCCGCGGGCAGCGGGTGGTGGTCGGGCCCCAATATCACCAGTGCGACGCTACCCTGCGCGCGGCCGACCGTGCCGGGGCGGCGCGGGCCATGCTGCGGCAGCGGGTTGCTCGTCATCTGATGGCTGGCCTCAGTCATGGCGTAGGCCTCTAGGACGGGGGCGCCGAAGGCGGCCTCCACCGCCTCCAGCGTGGCGGGGGCCAGGCTGGAGGAGCAGGAGCGGATGACGCGCAGGGGGGGCGGCGCGGCCGTGGGGAAGTCGCGGTCCGCGCGCTGCACCAGAATCTGGTGGATTGTGGGGACGGCGGTGTAGAAGGTGACGCCGTGCGCCGCGGCGTCCTTCCAGAAGGTCCCCGCCGCGAAGCGCCCCTCCGCCGGGAATACCACGCTAGCGCCAGCGGAGAGAGGGGCCAGCCAGCCTGCGCAAGGGGGGGGGCAGGGTGTAGGAGCTTGAAGAGTAGAGGTTGGGGGTGTTTTGCGTGCTCGACGGACTGGGCAGGGGGGTGGCAGAGCCAGGCGACCAAGCAAGTCCTCCGCCCCTGTACCCCTGCCGTCGCCGCAGGGACCGATGCACGCCTGGACATGATGGGCCCCCATGTCACGGACCTGAGGACAGGAATGAGGATGCATATTCATTCCACCCCACTCACCCGCCATCAGGCCGTGGACATGGAACAGGGGCATGGCCAGGAGGGAGACGTCGGCTTCTGTGAACTCGTACGTCTGTTGAGGGTTGCGTAGGGGGGGGGGGGTTCGAGAGCATGTGCTCAGGGGAAAGAGGGCATGGGGAATTGCGATGGGCCGACACTGGACCAAACTGACTTGCCTGAGCACTGGGCAGGTGGAGCCCTCATCCCTGGCACCCCACACATGCAAATGAACTGGACGCTGCCAGCCAGCATGTGGGGGTGTGCTAGAATGCAGGCCCCAGCTTGTGGGCTGACAGGCAGGCGATCACAGGCCCAGACCTTGGGCCTGCATTCTAGCTCGACCAGGTATCCCTGTCAGCAGACCCCGGTGCCACCAGGTGCAGCCCATGACCCCACCTGGCGGATGTTCTCCAGGCTGGCAGTCAGGTTGGCATGGGTGAGGGGCACGCCCTTGGGGCGGGAGGTCGTGCCGGAGGTGTGCAGGAAGAGCGCGACGTCGTCTCCGCGTGGGGGGTCTGCCAGAGCCTCGCCGGCAGGGGCGGTTTTCAGGGCAAACTCCCCGACCCGGGAGGCCAGCTGCAGGACGGGTGCGCCGGAGGCAAAGTCCAGGGTCACGCCGATGGCCGGAGCGACTCCTGCCGCCTCCGCCCCCCTGTTCCCAGAGGCTCCCACAACCACCAAGGTGGAGCCCGCATCCTCCTGGTAGTACTTGAACTCCTCCTGCAGAGGCGAGGGTGGAGGGGGTTGACCGGCTGCAGACATGGGGTGCGAGCCATGCATGGCCAGGCTGGCCGATGGGAGGAGCCACAGGAGGGGTGCCAGCCATGGGAGCAGTAACTCTTCCAAGACTGCATGACACCTTTGCTGGAAATTGCGTCCAGACGGCCACTCAGTCCCAGGTGCCCAAGATGCCCATGGAGTGCGGCACAGCGTCCACATACCTCGTGATAGTTCTGGTTCAGGGGGGCAGCCACAGCCCTGGCGAGGGTCGTGCCCAGGAACGCCACTGCAAACTCGAGCTGCACAGTAATGAGGATGACGGAATGTGTGGGGCATCAGGGACTTCCTAGTCTCTGAGTGTTCCTGATCAAGGCCACCTGGACTGGCATGCGCCACGAGACCCCATGCATGGGCATGAATCATGCATTTAGCCCGACCCTGCCTCGACTTACCGTGTTGGAGTCGACGATGGTGACCAGATCGCTTGGTTGCACCCCACTGGCGCGCAGGCTCTGGGCAAACTGGGTGGCCAGCTCCAAAAACTGACCCCTGGTCAGCTTCTGTCCGCCGCTGCCCACCACAATGGCTGGGCTGTCGGGGGAGCCCCCCAGGACATCGAGCAAGGTAGAACCCGACATGCGCCAGGTATCGCTATGGGTCTCGGGTGCGGGAGGGAAACTTGGGAGAAACTCACAAAGATCGCTGGTAATTCGATTTGTGTCTCACTTCGAGATAGGTTAATTATGTTGGCAACTTTGGGGGATGTCGTAAGCGCACGTGCATGTGGCATGTACCGTCAAAACCCGTTCTGTTGTGTCGCCATTCACCCGGTGAGTGTTCTCGCGGAGCCAGGCAGACGCACAATGGAAGCTGCAGGCGATCCGGCTCGCACCCCCCTCCCCTTCCCCGTGCAACCCCTCGCTTGACGATCGCTGCTGAGGCAATGGCACACTCACAGGCTAGTCAGCGCACAGGCGACTCCAACATGCAAGTGGAGATCTCCGTCCAGCTCAGCGGCAGGCTGGCTTGCAGACAAAAGTCCCTGAGTTTCCTTGGCAGGGCAGGGGACACCACAGATCCTCTACCTGTTCAGGACCTCCAGCAGCTTCTCCTTCACTGCCTCGCCATATCGGGCCGACAGCACGAAGACTCCACCGAATGCAGCCAGGACGCCGATCTCTGTTGACGAGACGAGGAGCGATGGGTTCGCGAGCAGTCAGCCGCAGCAGGGTGGCAGACGGGATCCGCGTGGCCAGCATGCCCCACAGGGCACCGGTTTGGATCCCACAACCAGTGATGTTCTCTGGAGGAGAGTCTGCATGTGGGCCCGGCATTCGACCAAAGCCAGGCCAGGGGCCCTCCCCCCGACACCAACCCCCGACCCGCACCACCCACCAGCAAGTCACAGGGGCAGGATGCCGCGCCGCTTTGCGCTCTGCTTCTGGGCCTGGGACGCGGGGCCGGCGGTGGTGTCCATGCCCTGCAGCTTTGCCGTCGCGGCCGGCACCTCGGTGAGGGCGGGGCGGGCGGGGACCAGGGGTGCCTTGGGTGCCGGCTGGCTGCGCCCTCCCCCAAAAGAGAAGAAGGAGTTGCCGGCCGGAGACGCATCCTCCTCCCGGGCTGCGGGGGAGCGGGCGGCCGGCGCCGCGCCCGCGCCACTGGCCCCCGCATCCCCACTCCCCTGGGAGCCCCTGCCTGCCAGGCCGCCATCGGCCCCCACCTCCAGCACCCCCGACGGCCGCGGCTGCTGGTCCACAGCCTGGGCGCCCCCGCCCTGCTGCGGCCCCTGGTCGAACGCCATCAGGCCGCTGCCGGGGGACGCGGGCATCCACTCCTCATGCTCTGCGCGCTTGGGGGCCGGGGGGGACTGCGGCCCGGCACCCTTGCCTGCCAGGGGAAGCGACGGAGTGGAGGGGGCCGCCGGCGCAGGCTGCTCGCGCGGGGGGTCGGGCCCCTCGGCCTCGGCGTCGGCGGGCGGCGTAGTCGCCGACGGGCCTGCGGGGGCGGGCGTTCCCTGCGTCGCCTGCTGCGGGGCGGGCGCATCGCCGCGACCAAACAGGCCGAAGGGCAGGGAGGGCGCGGGAAAGTCCCTGCGGGTGCCCTTGGGCACGGAGGGAGCCTTGGCGACGGCGGCCTCGTATCGCTGTGGGGGCCAGAGAGGAGGGGACGGACTTTAACGAGGGACACCTTGGGGCCCTCGTATCATTCAAGCCCCGTCTCGCACGCAGGCAACTGCAGTCCCATCAGACGTGTGCCCAGGTGGGCCAGGGCCTTGTCTGTCCAGTCCAAAGGGTGCATCAGGATCTTCAGGGCACCAGGGGTTGGCATGGCGGGTGCTCGACTCGCCTTGGCAGCATCGGAGAGTGTGCTCCCCAGCTGACTGACGAGCGGTGGGTCAGAGCCCGCGTCGGCACCCTGCGCCATGGCTGCGTTCGATGAGGCCAGAATGGCGGCTGCCAGGACACCAGCAGCGGCCCTGCCATCTGCCTGTGGCAGCGTTGTGTTGTTGGTCTCGGCAGGGAGGTCCGACTGGCCCATGCGAGAGGGTTTAGCCCCCACCCCATGCACTAAGCAACATGGTAGTCACAACCCGCCAGAACCTCCGACGGCAAGTGCCCACCCCCTCACAAGGTAGTGACACGCTATGTTGGCATGTGCACGACTCCTGATGCTCCTGGGTCGCAGAGTTGGGGCGCGACGCAGGGGTGCGCATCCCATGGAATGGGAGCTCAAGGCTCGCCCATTCACGCACGATGCGACCGACACCATCAAGCTACAGATCGCTATGAGATGGCTATGGTAATGTGATTGAGAAATGTCGTTGGGCTGCTGTAGCGTGGACCTCCATACCGGATCTGCAACCCCACGCGGATATCCAATCCCTTGGGTCCTCGCGCTCTGTCTGCGGACCCTTGTCGCCATGCGCCATGAGGGGCTCTGAGGACAGTAATCCCACCATTCAAACCCTCGCTGATCCACCCGGAAGTCAAACATGACGAAGAGAGTGGGAAATTTAAGTTTCACTGCGTACATCTGTCGCACCTCGGGCACCTCTTCCTTGTATGTTGCCCCCATAAGGAGTGTGTCGCCCAGATAGGGCTCAGACCGCATCGCACGCTGTGGAGCGCGGTGCAGAGGTACCATGATCACGGCGAAGCGACTGGTGTCAGCTCAACAGGCCACAAACCGCAGGCCCAATCGGTGCTCACTGGAAGTGTCGGGCCGTTGGAGGTCAAGGTATCTTTCTACCCACACAACGTCCCGGCAGGGCACACCCTGAAGACAACCAGCTGCTGGATCGTACCGTCGTTCCCTGCTATCCTTCCGGAGATCAGATCAGTGACGACATGCCCTGCCCTCGGTGGGCAGCTCGTGGGGAATGTTGTCCTGTGACCGTTGCGGGCCGCAGGCGGCACAGCAGCACTCCAGATCGAGCACATTGCGAGTTCTCCCCTCCCTCCTGATCTCCACACCATCACAATCAGCCATGCGTATTGCTCGGCTCCTGTGTCTGGATCCATCACATGCAGCGTGGGGGTTGTGACCGGAAGAGTAGGAGGACTTGTCAAGCTCCAGATCATCTTCAGAGATGACTCATCCTTTACCAAACAGATACGGCGTGACGCATATGTCTACGAGAGCACATTCGTGGTCGCCAGCACTTTGTCACAGGGAGAAATCACCGCATACGTTACCTTCCTGGACGGCGGTACCGCTCAATCTTCGACGATCGACCTAACACCATACCCTTCCCCTCCACTACCCGCCTTGTCCCAACCCCCTCCCTCTCCACCCAGCACTCACTCTCCTCCCAGCCCACCACCTGTGACACCGGGCCCATCGGAGAGTCCACCATAATCCCCCACAAGCCCAATCCCTGGTCCGAGTACACCCCACCCCAGCATTCCCTCACCATCCTCCAGCGGCCCTCCCCCTCCCCATCCTGAGACAAGCATCCCAATCCCACCCAGCAACCGGGCCCCTCCACCTCCCAAAGAGAGCGCCCCTCCTCCACCTGTTGAGACTCCCCCTCACCCGATCAAGAGCGGGCCCCCTCCCCTATCCAAGAAGAGCCCCCCACTCTTGCCCAAGAAGAGTCCCTCACCCTCGCCCAAGAAGAGGCCCCCTCCCTTGCCCAAGAAGAGGCCCCAACCCTTGCCCAAGAAGAGCCCCCCTCCCTTGCCCAAGAAGAGGCGCCAACCCTCGCCAAGGAAGAGCCACCCTCCCTCGCCGAAGAAGAGGCCCCCGCCCCCCCCCCAAAAGTCACCACCTCCACCAGAGAAGAAATCTTCACGCCCCAAGAAGTGATCCATACCAGCCAAATCGCAGCTATGTCGGATCACTTAATGGTCCTTTCGAATGCGTCTTTGAGTCCCGTGCAATCCTTGAGGCTGAGACCCTCGAGAGCGTGCCAGATTCGCTTGCTGCCAGTTTGCCATGAGCGGTTGGCCGCACAGCAGGTTCCATCGGATCCACACCGGTCGTGGCCCCCCTGTGGATAGACTCTATCCACCGGCCACGACCCTGTGAGAATCACAAGTCCCCATTTCTTGCTCCTGCACTCCGAAAGACTTTGGTCTGTGGAATGTCTCATCGGTACTCTACAGAGCCCTCCACCCCTCCCGCCCATCATCACAAACTGAACGGTTGACTCTCCTCCACACTGTTTCATCCCATTGTAATGGCCCCATCCATCCAGAGACATGCATGCTCAGGATTGTAGTCCAAAGTGGGATCAGAAAGTATTACGGGTGGCTATTGCAGTTTGCGTCTCCGCCACATGCTATTTCTCAAGCGGAATCTTGTGAGAAAGTCGCATGGTGCACCGGTTGAGGACGAGAAAACGGCACAACACCCTCCCTGTGATGGATCTGTGCCCGACCTCGCCAGCAGCAGTGGTACTTGTTCGTCTGTTGACCTGGAGAACGCGTCCCCATTCTTTCCCGTTGAGTGCATGTGAGTTGACTTGACTGGACGATATCAGATCGACTTTCATCCAGATCTCCATTTCTCATGATATACTCGCATCTAGGAGAACTGCTAGGAGGTCCTAAATCCCTAACAAGCAAAATGGTGACAACACCCCCCTCCTCAACCTCCCATTTCTGTTCACAGTCAGCACACGAGGGACACATGATATAATTAACATTCTCCAGGGGCTGCAGCGCTGTATCCGAGTCTCAAGGCCCCAGGCTGCCGCCGCCGCCTTCCTAATTCCTCCGCCATGGGGACCTTCGCAACCCGATCAAGCAATAATTTGCATCTTTATACCTTGAATTAACAAGTTTAGGCTCGGGCGAGGTCAGACTGGTCGTTAGTATTGCCCTCGGATGGCCGCACAGGCGACGAGCACGGTGACTCCCGTGCTTAGGTGTCAGCGACCTTGACGCCGAACGTCAGCACACGAGATTAAGAAGTTGGAGTAAAATGAAGATCCAGAGAGGGAGTACCAGCTTCCAGGGGGCGACTTTAGGCTCCACAAGCGACCGTTCTCCACGGCGAAGTTGGTATTCCACCGAGACGAGAGAAAGCAGTGCGATTTCACCCCGTGCTTGACAAGCGACTCCCGTATGCACTCGCTCGCACTCTTGTGGGAGTAAGACTGACTGGTTCATTGTTGTGTCTGACTCGAAGTACTAGGCGAAGTTGCGTCGTGGAGACGCACACCCGCGGAAGTTACAACCTTCGAGGGAGGAGGCCACGGAGTGAGACGCGAGAAGGGTTACACTCTCAGGGTCAGCATTCCTGATTTCTCCGTTGGCACAGCCCCATCTGCATAAGAACCTCACTGTGTGCACCGTTGCCTCCTTCGGCTCGGCTTCGGGTGTCCGCCGAGGACACCTGTCCTCACACACGTGTGACCCCTGCGGACGCCGGGCGGTCTGAGCCTCTGTGCCGGGAGCGGAGAACACCTGCTGCTCGCCCAGACTTCGAGCATAACCAATGCAGGACCACAGCTTTTGAACCCCAAGAGAACCGCAGCGCACCACACTGTAGGTTCCGAAACGCTTGGTTCTGCCAAATTAATGACGAATTGAGAAGGGAAAGGAAGCCAGGGATGGCGCGGCCTGGAGCCCTCCCACTGACCCTAGGCCTCATCATCGCGCTCCTTACTGCGCAGACTAATTCGGTGAGTTGTGTGGTGTGCAACGCGCACATGTAGGTGATTTCTTGTAAAAATGCCCCAATTTTCACTCACCAACCGCGTCCTCCACCCTCCGCGCAGCAACTCGCGAGCGCCCCCTCCCCCGCCGATGCCCACACCGTCTTGGTCGACCATGCATATTGCTCGGATCCGGTGTCTGGATCCATCACATGCAGCGTAGCGGTCGTGAGCGGTATGCTGGCGGCCCAAATCGAGCTCGTCATCATCTTCAACGACGACACGAGATTTACCAAAGTGATAGAACCTGACTCACCCGTCTATGAGACCACAATAGTGGTCGAGAGTTCCCAGTCACGGGGAAACATCTTTGCGTTCGCAACCTTCCAGGACGGCACCACAGTCGAGTCTCCCACTGTTGACCTGACACCTTACCCTTCCCCTCCACCACCCTCTCCACCGTTCCCTCCCCCTAGCCCCCTTTCCCCTCCTCCCAGCCCATCACCTATCGCACCGAGCCCATCGGAGAAGCCACCGCCCCCCTCCACAAGCCCCCCTCCTAGTCCGATGCATTCCCCGCCCAGCATTCCCTCACCTTCACCCAGCAGCCCTCTTCCTCCTCCTCCCAAGGAAACCTCCCCACCCCCACCCCAAAAGAGCCCCCCTCCCTCGCCATCTATGAGCCCCCCTCCCCCACCTGTTGAGAGT